CAAAAAGGGAAATCAGACATGCCGCTAAAAGTCTTAAAACTGCTTGGTGCTGTTAATGAGCCTGCCCAGGGAGCTATCATGCATTGCCCTGGCCACCAGAGAGAGAATCTATTGGGTCCAGAAATACATCATAGAGCCCCACCTCCAAAAGACTATACAACAGGTGACTAAAAATTGTGCAACCTGTGCAAAGAACAACCCCAAGACCACTTCCAGTCTCCCACATCTGGGCACTCAGCATAACGCAAACTGGCCTACTAAAGACTGGCAAATACACTTTACCCAGATGCCATGGGCAACAGGGAATTTCAGGTTTTTGTTAGTGTTTGTGGACACCTTCACTGGGTGGGTAAAAGCCTTTCCCACTAGGACTGAGAAAACATCAGAAGTCACACCCATGTTGCTAAAAAAAATCACCTGTAGGTTTGGTCTGCCTAACACCTTGCAGAATGATAATGGACCAGCTTTTGTCTCCCAAAGAACACAACAAGTGTCCAGAAGCTTAGACATCTGATGAATACTACACTCAGCTTGGAAACCTCAATTAACTGAAAAAAAAAATGCAAAGAAAAATCACACCTTAAAAAAAAAAAAAATACCAGGGCAGGTCCGGTAGCTTAGCGGTTAAGTGTGTGCGCTCCGCTACTGGCAGCCCAGGTTCGGATCCCTGGCGCTCACCGACGCACCACTTCTCCAGCCATGCTGAGGTCTTGTCCCACATACAGCAACTAGAAGGATGTGCAACTATGACATATAACTATGTACTGGGGCTTTGAGGGAAAAAGAAGGAGGAGGATTGGCAATAGATGTTAGCTCAGGGCTGATCTTCCTCACAAAAAATAAATAAATAAATAACCAAAATCGGTCAGGAACACAACTCCCTTGGGGTAAGGTGCTGGCTCTTGCCCTGCTAAGGGTTAGAGTAGCTCCCTGAAGTGGACTTAAGTTGAGTCCTTTTAAAAGTCTATATGGGAGACTCCTTCAAGCATCTTCCTCTGGGATTGAATCTCTGGAGGTTTTAAGTAACGTTATGATTACTAATTATGTTAAATCCTTAAGCTCTGTATTAACATCTGTCCATGAGTTTGCTTCTCATAGGTCTGCATATCTGCCTGATGTGCCTCCACATGCCTTCTGACCTGGTGAGCATGTTTTGTTGAAAACTTGGAAAGACCAGGGACCCGAAAACCAGTTGTCACCCAAGTGTATGGGCCCCTTTAAGTGGTGAGAAGAAGATTCGGGTGATTTCCTCTGTTCTGAGATTCTCCAAAATATCCTGAGGTTCTTTGCACCTGCCAGGGAAGTGACCTTCTTTACCCACCTGGTAAGGTTGCTGGAAACCCTGTAAACAATGGACAAGGCCAATATTTCCAAGTGCTTTTATTTCATACAGTCAATCTTTCTCCATTAGCCGTCTGGTCATATCTGAGTCTATGCATGTTTCTCTCAAATGTGACATTCCAGTCAAAGCTTTGGTACTATCACCAATGTTTCCAATTGTGTCCCATTATAAGGAGAACAGATTCTTATTGAACTTATGTAACTAACTATATGGCCATGAGAATAAGAATATTCACTCACTAGGAGTTTCTAAATTCTGGAGGGATCAGGTAGGGAGAAAAAGATAAATGTTTCAATTCTGCTTACAGTGATATAATTTTGCAAACTTCTATAAGCCATAGGTAGCTTAACAGAAAAGAGAAAAAGGTTTTCTTAAATCTGATAAACAAAACATTAAATAACGGTCAATATTTCAAATAAAAAAGTCATAAAATTATAATCATGCTCATCAGTTCATTTAGTCCCGTGACTCTGTATCTTTTGTTGGCAGTTTCATGAAGTCATCAGTTTCTCTGTCAGAGTTCTATAATTTCCCACCCAGTAGAGTTTTATGATCTGAAAGTTCATCAGAAACCAATATTCTAGAGTAAGTCTCAGAGTCCTTTCTATGAATGTCTCTGAAAATGAGGACATGCCTATTTCAATCAAACCAGCAAACCTAAACAAGCTTTCGTTTACCTAAGATCACTTACTTTAAACTAGTTAAATGGAGCTTTTAATTTGGACCATACCATCTGGAGGTAGAAAAATTTCTCACACTGTATGGGCTCAGGCAACTCTATTGACTTCCTTTAATACATTTAATTAACACTGTCTGAAGGACAGATTTATATGCTGTTTTACAATATCAACACTGGGGGGATGTTTCCCCCAGTAAGACACAATGTCTATCCCTAAAATACGATTTATAACACAATCACACAAAAGAGCTGTAATCACTTAATTCCATCAATGCTTAGAGCTCCAGTCATAGCTTTCATTAGGACCTCATAAAAAGTGTCTTGGTCGGAGCCGGCCCAGTGGTGCAAGCGGTTAAGTGCGCACACTCCACTGCGGTGGCCCAGGGTTGGCCAGTTTGGATCCCGGGTGTGCACCAACACACCACTCGGCAAGCCATGCTGTGGCGGCATCCCATATAAAGTGGAGGAAGATGGGCACAGATGTTAGCCCAGGGCCAGTCTTCCTCAGCAAAAAAAGAGGAGGATTGGCAGATGTTAGCACAGGGCTGATCTTCCTCACACACACACAAAAAAGTGTCTTGGTCTTAGGATATTGGGTAGGGGAAGCATTCCCACCCACATATATTGTCCATTTTCACAACACACTCAGGCGAAGTTGATATAACCTCCTTATATAAAATTAGCTCAAACATTCCAAACTTTAGAATCTTATCAATGCTTATACTTTTACATTTTTTCAATTTAATTGTAGCCTGAGTAGGAATCTTAAGGCCAGTCATTATTTTTTTGTAGTTTCTTTTTAATTTGGTCTTTTCACAGGTACCAATAAAACAATTATGACAAGAGCTCTCTAAAATTTTTCCACTTTAGAAGTTTTTCCAATTTAAGGATCCATGATCTGGCAGTTTTCTCCAGAGTCTAAACAATATTGTGGCCATGTGATGTTATAAAAGAGTATCAACTTTTTCCTTTTTCATGGGCTCGTAGCTAAAAGTTGCCCAATTTTGGAGAATGTCACCCAGGGGGCTAGAGGTGGGGATCGACTTAGTGTTCCCTATAGCTGACTTACACACAAGACAAAAGCACCCACACAAAGATAAAATCCAACACCTGACAAATGAAAAGTAGACCCAAGTCCAATGTGTTTCTCCACTGCAATCAATCATTTTGCTGAGGGTGCCCGACAGCAGCTGGGGGCCACTGATCTCTTGAACCCTAACCGAGGCCATCCAGCCACGGGCAGAAGAATCTGGGCTGTCTCACCAAAATTGATACCGAACCTCTTAATCACAAGTTTGTGTGTGTGATGTGCAGTAAGCCAATCACTGAGACATCAGTGCTTGGAGATGGAGAAAGGTTTATTCGAATTGGCCAAAACAAGAAGGTGGGAGGATAGGTTCTCTCAAATCTGCCTTAACAAGAGAAGAAAGCAGCAGGGGGTTTTAAGGAGCTAAGGGGCTTGGCAGGAGGAGTTTCAGAGGAACAAAGTGGTCACTCCCGATGAACCCCTGGGCAATCGGACTTCTGGACATCAAAGGCAACTGGGGGCTGGTTATCTGGTGATGGTAACTTCCTTGAAGGCATTCTCCTTCTTCTGTAAAACAAGCTCATAAACCCTTGTGACCCTTGAGTCACCCCTCAGGTTAAACAAGAAAACAGCAAATTGACAAGATTGACTTCTTTTCATAACAAGGTGGAAAGGTAATCATATTGAATATTTACAGTAACCCGCAGGTACCCGGCTTCATATCGATTCCCTCTCCATCATTTTTGTTTGTGTTTCCTGACAGTTGATTTGGTGGTTTCTCCTGTAGTCTTCCACAAAGACGGTGCCTTTGCCGAAGACCTGTCCACCGTGTGGTTGGTAAATTTACAGTAAATCGATGATGGAGGAACATCATGGGTAGTACTCTGTACTTCCTCCAGGAGGCGCACACCATCCAGCTGTCTCCCCAGTGGCCATGTGGCAGCCCTTGATGGTTACTGCTGAGATCCATTCATTCATTAGGCTCACCAAGTGGTAATAATGTAGTTCTGCCTTTGTTTTTCTATCTTTATTATTTGGACTATTCTACCCCAAAATCACCTCTTTTTCTCACCTAAGTGAATATCCTGAGGTCCAGGGCTTATGTGAATTTGAAAGGCAGGATAAATGGATGGTACTTTATCTTTTTTTAGCCAGTTTTCATAAAACACACCTGATCCCCTCATCCTGTAAGCAAGAAATGGGCTGTCTATTCTTCTCCTGTTCCCGGCTAAGAAATGTTAAAAAACAAAATCCAACTGAGTAAATTTTAAAGATCTTACTGGCTTCATTCAATGATCCATGAAGTGGGCAGAATCCAGTCTAGCAGATAGAAAGGAGCTCTGAAGAGCTAAGGCAAGGGACTTTTAGGCAGAAGGGAGCAGGAACAGGGAAGTTATGTTAGGCAAAAAGGCAGCTTGGTTATTACAAGCTCACCTTCCTTTAGGGGATGGCAGGGGCCTATCAGACAGATGACCTGACTAGTGCTGATCAGATTCCTGGTTGAGGGGTTTAAGATGCCATGTCTGGGAGAGCTGAAACTGTCACTAAGTGAAGTCTTGCCTTGGTGACAACGTGGTGCTTAGCATAAGCAGCTGTTTGGGGACTGCTACCTTGTTTTTAACAGGAAGAGAGCTGTCTCCACTCAACACCAAGGGAAGAATCAGATCCGTCCTCCCCACTGTCCCATGTGCTTCTCCCCTGGGCTCTCACATCCTCTGTGTGCTTCCTCGTCTAGGCTTCGACCACCACCAAATACAGCACAGCAGTGACAGTGGACACAGCGAGAGGAGCCGCAGCAGGAGGAGCCGCACAGGAAGCCCTCTGACCGTGAGTGCCTGGAGGTCACCATGAAATGGGCTTCAATTATACGCAGTGGCCCTTTTTCATACGAGGGTCCCACACCAACTCTGCCTCCAGCTCCCTGGACCCCAAGGGCTCCCCCAGTTCCTCACCAGAGACTGCAGGGACCGTGGTGTTCAGCCCGCAGTGTCCCACGTGGCAGGCGAACCTCTGCTCCTCTCCAGGGAGGATCTGAGTGTCTACCCAGGTCTGGTAGGTCCCGTCCCCACTGGGCAGGTTGGTCCCAGGCCCAAAGGTGCCGTGGTGCATGGGCTCCCCATCCCGAAGCCAGGTCAGGGTGGCACCCCGAGGATAGAAGCTAAAAGCCCAGCACCTCAGGATGACCTGGCCCACCAGGTTCTTACTGCAGGTTACAGTCACTGACGGGGGATCTGGGCAGAGACAGAGCAGAGTTCAGTGAGGCCAAGGGCTCCCTCCTTCCACTGCAGGGAAACCAAGAGCAGGAACTAGCCAGCCCTTAGAAATGACCCGTGCACATTCGCCCCAGCCACCGCTCCAGGGGGGCTACATCCCCAGTGGAGAGAGGACTGTGGGAGGACCCCACACTGCTCCAACAGCCCCAGGACCCTCCGAGGGGGTCAGGCCCTCGCCCACCTGGAGAGCCTGAGAGGAGACGAACTCCCTGCTCTCAGAGGCCATCGGATCCACCTGAAGATGCTCAGCACACAGTTTTGAAGAATTTGTAGGCACTGATGGGACAAAGGGGCTGCTCTGCTCTATAGGGAGTGAGAACCCAGCCTCAGTGATGTACCTCCTTCCTCCCCAACAGAATCAGCTCCACATGCTCCAGGGGGGGATGGAGGGACTGTCCACAAGGATGGCCAGCTGGCCCTGCAACCGAATTTTTTTGTCCTGGGCCTGACATTCCTCTGGGGACCTCTGGTTGATTATAGGTATTTTCATACACTGCCCACCCCCCACAAGACACCGACACACACCAGCATCTACTCTTTCTTTTCATTTTGTCACAGGCTGAGAGGAGGAGGTAACTTTCAGCTGGACTTTTCTAAAAGTCAAAGTAAAACAAAAGTGGAATGACCCTGGTAATAAGATTTTGAGTGATTTGGGTTTGAATATGTGATCCTTGCTCCAGAGCTGGAATATGCTGTTATTCTTGGCTCCCAGCCAGACTGGCCTCATCTGAGGGCCTCCACCAAGGACTTGAAACCTAGATGTCTTCCCCGCTCAAAGTCAAAATCCCAGAGAACGAGGAGAAAAAAAGGAGAGAAAAGGTTTCCCTGTACTGCCTGCCTGGGGCCTGAGGCCTGAGATCTGGGCCCACATCCTGGGACTCTCCACTTCTCCAGCTGATGGACCAGCAATGGGTCCAGAGGAGACCCCTCACCTACCCACATGGTTGTGACTCTCCCACAATTCAATCAGAACTCAGCACCTAACCTAAGGCCAGGGCAGGACAGCCACTCAGAGAGTAAGAGACAAATTCTCTTCCTTGTGGGAACCAGGGATAGACTTAGTGGGTGGATCCTCCCGCCCAGGTCAGTACCTCTATTCTCCAGGAGGCCCCTCCAAGAGGCCAGGTATCTCCAGAGTTGGGCAGGACAAGTCACACGCAGGAAAGTCTTAACCAGATCAGCCCTGGGGCCTTGGGTCTCCCAGAACTTCTTGATGCGCAGGGCTGAGGGCGTGGCCACCATCCATGGGAGGGTCTCTGAGTCGAAGGTGAGGAAGTCCTGCCCTTTGTAGCCCAAGCGCCAGAAGCCTCTAGTGCTGTCTCCCTGGAGCTCACAGCCCAACGTAGCCTGGAGGGAGTGAAGGCCTGGCCCACCCCAGGCAGCGACCTGTCACCTCACTGTCCCTGAACCTCTACACCCAACGGGACTTCAACCCAGAGGGGTATGTCATCTCCTCCACCCACATCTGAGGAACCTGGTGCAGCATCAGGGGGGGCCTCACCTCTCTGTGCAATTCCAGCCTTGCTGTGCCCTCCCCTCCCCCAGCTGTAGGATAAACAGAGCAGGGACCAGACTCGGACCCACGTGCCCCTGGCCCTGCCCCCATTCACCTGAGGCCTGGGCCTGCACGCCCATGATCTCTGTCAGCATCTGTCTGAGCTGCTGTTCCTTCTCCTTCAGGTCCTTGGTCTCTCTCTCCCAGGTCTCAGCTCCCAGGTCCATCTTGATCCCTAGACCCCGGGGCTCTGCCCTCTGGCTCTCGCCATCATAGCGCAGGAAGATCTCATCATCAAAGTAGCCCAGGGCCAGGAACTGGGGCTTCCCAGGCCTGTCCAGGGACAGGGCCATGAGGTCGTAGCGGAGAGTGTGGGGTCCTGAGGGAGGAGGACACGTGGGTGATTCGCCCTGCCAAGTTCAAGGTTTCTAACAGCTGCCTCTGTCTTGAGTCATTTATTTATTTATTTACTTATTTTTTTTATTTTATTATTTTTTTTGTGAGGAAGATCAGCCCTTAGCTAACATCCATGCCAATCCTCCTCTTTATTTGTGCCCATCTTCCTCCACTTTATTTAGGACACCGCCACAGCATGGCCTGACAGATGGTGCATGGGTGTGCGCCCAGGATCCAAACCCAGGCCATCAGCAGCGGAACGCGTGCACTTAACCGCTATGTCACGGGCTGCCCCTATCTTGAGTTATTTAAATCAGGCTATTCTGTCCTGACCCAACCCAGAGGTGAGTGCAAGGAACCAAGCAGAGTGCTTTGTGATGGACAGCACGAGAGAAAGAGAGGGTCAGGCAAAATATTAGAGAGGTGTTAGAGGTGGAAGAGAAAGCAGATGTATCGGGGCACAGAGACAGAAACAGACACGACCGAGAGATCACAGCTGCACAGGGCGGGAGACTGGGAGCCCCCGAAAGGCAGGACTGAAATCTCCCACGGTCTTTCAGGACTGAGAAGAGAGGAACTGCCAGGCTCTCAGCTGAAACCTGTGAAGGTCACAGTGCCGTTTACGGAATCCTACTAGAACTGTGACCCTGTGCTGAACCAGGTGGATCCTGATTGAACTGAGGTGATAAGGCCCTTGTATCTGCTGAAGTGAAGGAAAGAATAAACCTTTCCTGGGCAGCAAATAACATCAACTGAAGCCAAGACGGGTGTAATGTAGGCCAGGATTCAATGTGAATTTGTTGACCTTCAAAGAGGCAGGAATACGAGACTGGTAATCAAGAAATGAAGAGGATCCCAGAGAATCGGAGCCAACCTGCAAACGATCCAGATGTTGCTAGTACCAGAAAAAAATTTAATATTAATATGTTTAAGAAAATAGAAGAAAATGGGCAAAATATTTGAAAGGAAAGAGGATTTCACCAGAGAACGGAAATGTATAAAAATAAAATGGGAATTCTAGAAATGAAATAAACAGTGTCTGAAGTTTTGAACTCACTGGATGGGATCTGCAGCAGATTAGACAGAGAAAAAACAGGATTAGTGAGCTGGAGGATGGGAAAATGGCAAATACAAAAACAGAAGCTTAGAGAAATATGAATGGAGACAAAGGGAAAGCTAAGCATAAGTGACATGTGCGACCCTCTCTTCTGTATCACTGGAGTTTCAGGAGAGAAGAGAGAAAATGCAACACTGGCATTATTCACAGAGATAACAGCCAAGAATTTTCCAGAACAGATGAAAGACCACAAGACCAGGTTCAGGAAGCTCTCAGCTTTAAGCAGGATAAACAGAAACAAAGCCACCTGAGAACATCAGGGCCAAAATATTGACCAGCCAAGACAGACAGAAACATTGCAAATAAAAGCACCCAGAGAAAATAAGACATATTACTTTTAGGGAGCATTTTATAAGACTGTTAAAGCTGACTTCTCAACAGAAATAATGGAAAGCAGAACACAATGAAACGACATCTTCCAAGTGCTGAAATAAAATCATCACAAAGTTACAAATCTATAGCCAGGAAAAATACTATACTGGAAGGAAGTCAAAACAAAGACGGTTTAAGAAAAAAAAATGTGCACAGTTGCTGCTATCAGGTCTGCACTAAAGGAAAAGCCAAGGGGAGCTCTTCAGTCAGAGGAGATGTTATCCCAGAATAAAAGAAGCCAACCCAGGCAGGAACCCCAAAGACCAACTATGTGAGTAGATGCGATAAATATTGAAGGAACAGAACCATCATTTTCATGTTCTGTGGAATTTAAAGTATATGTACAACTAAAATTTACAACAACGTAATGTGAGAGTTTGGGGGGATGTGAAATGGAGTTTAAAGGTCTAGCAATATCTGGGAATTGTTAAAAGTCATAATTAGTACTTGACTACAATACTAATACATATTATATTCTCTAGAATGACCACTGTGAGAAGAGTAAGAGATGTACAATTAACAAATTAATAGAAGAAAAAAATGGAGTATTGAAAAAGCTAGACATCCAAAAGAAGGAAAGAAAAGGAGAAAAAAAGAACAAATAGATTGGCTAAATAGAAGATATAGAGTGAGATAGTAGATATAAAGCCAAACATAATGCTAATTACATTAATGTGAGAGGACTAAAAACCTCATGTAAAAGAATAAGGTTATCAGATACAGTTAAAAGAAAAAATCACAAAATCAAATTATGTTGCTTATAAGAGTCACACAAAGTCATTGGAAGACTGAAATGGAAAGGATAGAAAAATGATATAAATGTAAGCTCTAAACAGAAGAAGGCTGGCATCACTCCACTAACATCAGAGCAGGTTTTAAGACAAAAAGCACTATTAGAGTAAAGAGAGGCCCATGCAACGGGAGATTTCACCATCATAAATCTGCATGTTTCCAACTATTTAGCTTTAGAATATATAAAGCAAAAATTAGCAAAACTTAAAGGAGAGACAGATCCAAAACATGTCGAGAGATGTTAACACCTCTCTCACAATAACCAGAGAACAAGCACACATAAAATCCATAAGGTACACAGTCTGAACAACAGAATTAACTTGACACAGTTGACCCATATGGAACAGATGACATTTCTATGTGCACAGGGAACATTTGCCAAAATCAGCCACACCCTGAAACATGAAGGAAGATTCAACAAGTGTCAGAGGATTGAAACCTTTCAGAATATGTTATCTGATCACTGTGGTGATAAGCTAGAAATCAATTAAAAAAAAGATATTGAGAATACCCCCAATTGCTTGGAAATTAAACCGCACACTTGATATAATCCATGGGTCAAAGAAGAAATCATAAGGGAAATTACAAAACATTTTGAACTGAGTGAGAACAAAAGCAATACATATTGCACCTTGGGAGTGCAGCTGAAGTAGTGACTGGAGAACAATTAACAGCCTTAAATGCATATATTGGAAAAAAAGAAAGACTAAATAGTGAACCCTCTCAGCTTCCAGCTCAAGACATTAGAAAAAGAACATAAATTACATAACAGGGCCGGCCCCGTGGCTTAGCGGTTAAGTGTGCACGCTCCGCTACTGGGGGCCCGGGGTTCAGATCCCATGTGCGCACCAACGCACTGCTTCTCTGGCCATGCTGAGGCCGTGTCTCACATACAACAACTAGAAGGATGTGCAGCTATGACATGCAACTATCTACTGGGGCTTTGGGGAGAAAAAGGGAAAAAAAAAAGGATGAGGATTGGCAATAGTTGTTAGCTCAGGGTCGGTCTTCCTCAGTAAAAGAGGAGGATTGGCATGGATGTTAGCTCAGGGCTGATCTTCCTCATAAATAAATAAATAAATACGTAACAAAATTCAAAACATATAATAAAGATAAAAGGAGAAATCAGTGAAGTAGAAAATTACATACAATAAAAAGGGACAAATTTCTTTAAAAATATTCATCTTACCAAAGCTCATATAAGAAGAAAAAGTCAATAGTCCCTTAAATATTAAGAAATTAAGGCCATGATTAAATATTAACCAGGCAAGAAAACTGCAGGCCCAAAAGGCTTCATTGGTTAATTCTAACAAATGTTTAAGATTAAAACAATAGTCTTATACAAACTGTAGCAGAAGATGGAACATAGGAGAGCGTCACCAACTAGGTCTCTAGAAACTCAAAGGTGGGTTTGGTAGCAATTAACTGTTTTTCCAAGTTGTTTCTTTTCCTTTTTTCTTTTTTTTGTGAGGAAGATTAGCCCAGAGATAACATCCATTGCCAATCCCCCTCTTTTTGCTGAGGAAGTCTGGGCTAACATCCGTGCCCACCTTCCTCCACTTTATATGAGATGCCGCCGCAGCACGGCTTGACAAGTGGTGGGTCGCTGTGTGCCCGGGATGGGATCCGAACCTGCAAACCCCAGGACATGAAGCGGAGCATGCGCACTTAACCGCTGCACCACTGGCCAGCCCCTAGCCATATTTTTTAATGCAAAGATCTCTCCAGCAGGAGCTTAGGCCTCAATATGTGGAAGCATGTTCTCCAGCTGAGCCTGTGCAAGTGAATACCTGCCACTCCCTTTTGAAAGTTCATTCCCCAACCAAAATAAAAGTTCCTGATTCCCTTTGTTCAGAGATGCCATGACTTTGGAAATGATTCCCCATGGCCTCCTATTTGCTGCAGATACACTTCACCTTGTGAGACAACTTCCACTGGCATAGAGTCTTATTTAACTCACCAGGAGGCAAGCCCACTGGGTTCGGTAAGAAGAGTACCCCAGATATACTTCATAAGGCCAGCACAAATCTGATGCCCCCCAAGACCCTCACCTGCCTCCCTGCCAGTCTGCCTCACCAGAGCTTTACCAACACCAGCAGCCCCTCAGACACCCGCCCCCTTCTGAGGACCCCAGATACTCACCATCCCCCACCATGGCTCCCAAACACCAGCTACCCTGCTGATCTTCCCCCTTCACGAGGACCACACACACACTCGCCATCCCCCTCCGTAGCCGCCCACATGCTCCTTGCTACTTCCCTCACTCACTGCTAGTTTCATCGCAGCCCCCCTCCCACACTTCCTGTCTCAACATGGCCTCCTCCAGACCCTCACCTGCCTCCCTGCCATCCCCAGAGACCCTCACCGTCCCCCACCACAGCCCCCAGGTACTCACCTGGCTCCCTGTGGACACCCCATCCAGACATCACCCCCCACACGGAATGCCTCAGACATTCACTGCCCTCCTCTCCACGTGTCTCTGGGGAACCCTCACCGTCCTCCGTGCCCGAGCCTCCAGGTCCTACAAACACTCACCACCTCCTCCAGGGCCCTAGACAGTCACGTGCCGCTGCAGACCCTCAGTCCCAGGAAACAGCGCCCGCAACACCACGTGTGGACCCACCAGACCCTCCCCATATCCCCTGTCCCTGCCACTGTGCCCCTCAAACAATCTTGCCCCTTTTGTTAGAGCCCCCTGCAAGCGCGCCCTCCGCAAGTCCTAACGTCCCCTCTCCTCCCGCCAGCCCCACACAAAGCCCGGTCCCCCATCCGCACCCAGACTCCCCCCATCCCCACCGCCGCCCAGGCGCTCACCAGGGGGTAACCCCCGCGACTCCTCCAGCAGCAGCAACAGGAGCAGCAGGTGTCTCAGGGCTCTGGGGTCCCGGGGGGACACTAACCCCATTCCTGTAGAGGTCTGGGTGAGCAGTTTGAAAGCAATTCGTTTTCAGCATCTGCTTTCGTTTTTGATCTTGTTAAAGACTAATGGCCCAGCCGGCCTTACTCTGATTGGGTGCATGGCGAGCCCCAGTGCCGCCCAAGACCCATCTCGACATCAGCTTGTTACGGCCCAATGTGGGGTCTTCTGCTTCCCGCAAGACGTGCCAATAATCAAGAGGAATAGTGGTAGGAGAAAAAGGACTTTTATTACAGCTTGCTAGCAAGAGGGAAGATGGCCAACTCATGTCCAAAAGAACCATCTTACGGGGGCACAAAATCTTACAGCAGTTATATAGGCCATTGGGTTATTGGGGAGGGGGTTAGGAATGTTGACCTTCTGGTGTTACAGACTGGGAGCCACACCAGATCTTTCAGTTTTCACTGATGATGGCTATCAGCATAGATTCTCTGTTCGGGGGTCATCACATTCCTAAGGAACTCAAAAAAGCAAGTTATCTCATAGCAGCTGGGAGGTACATGCACAAGCAGGGGTCGTAAAATCTACAAAGCAGTTAGACCTCTGCTTTTTTAATGACCTTTGTCAGCGGTCATTCAAAGTTAAAATAGAGTTTTTCTTTTCTAAAGTATGGCTTCCCTTATGTCAACCTTGTCTTCATCTGGTATCAAGCTCTGCCTGAGACCCCAAGTATATGCCTCAAAGGTCCCAGATTCCCTCTGGCTGAGGAGGTGGAGGGGCTGAAGTCTGTCTGGTCTTGGGTGTTCAGGGTCTCTGTCCCACCACCCACGGACAGGCCCGTCTGAGTCCCTGCCCTGTGTCTGCCCAGCTGTCTGCCCCTGCTGAGGAGAGACCGCATCCCACAACAGGGTGAGGTCTGCTGTGTGTGGAGCTGAGAAGGCCCTTCCCCACAAGCTGAGTTATGGAACTCTAGTCTCCCTACCCCTCCACCCCTCCCCTCGGACTAAGCCCCTCCTCCTCTCTTTTCTTCCCCAGGCAAAGGAAGTGGGAGGGCCTCAGCCCCCTAAGGAGGTCCCCAGTCAGGACTCAGGCTTTTCCTTCAGGGAAGTGAGCCTGGCAGGCAGGCTGTGAGCAGAGGGACTTGCAGTCTCACCCAGGACAAGATCCTACTGCTGTGGGGAAGGACTTACCATCACCAGGTCCAGCTGGGCGGCCCTGAGAAAGGGTCTTTGGGCCAAGATCCTGCTGTGAGGGAGGGTCTGGGACCTGGTGGAGGCCAGGGGGTCAGGGAGGAGGCTGCAGAAGGAACGTGGCAGAGATGCTGTTGCTTGGTGAGTGTGTGTGTGTGGGGGGGTGCCCCAGGGGAGGGGATTCTGGGGGGTCTGAAAGAGCTCCAGTAGGACGGCGCTGTGCAGGTGAGAAGGGAAGGCATCTGGTGCCTGCAAGCCCAGGGAAGCTGACAGTGAGCCTCGAGGGGCCTCCACAGGCCTCAGGCCTCAAGACCAACGTGACAGGATCAAGTGGACGCCCCTGATGGCAGACCCCTCCAGGCCCAGAAATCACCCAAGTCCCTCAGGCCCACATTCATGATGATGGGGTGGGGAGGAGAGAGACGCATCTCATGTCAGAAGGGGAGGCTGGGACCCTTCCCCAGCGCTGGGGCCCCATGGGGCACAGCTGTGTAGAAACATCACATGAGGAAGACACAGGGGTGGGGGAGACAATTGGAAGGGAAAGAGGTTTGCAAAGAACTTCAGACATCAATTCTGGGAAGTTACTATGTGAAGATGGAAACATCCAGTCAGACACACATTATAAACAGTATTTTCATCCATTATCCATCCATCCATTCGTTCATCCATCCTTCCATCCATCCGTCCATCCATCCATCCATCCATGTGTGCATGCATCCATCCATGCATCCATGCATGCATCCATCTATCCATCCATGCGTCCATCCTTCCATCCATCCATTTCTTCATTCAGTATTCCCTGAGCATCTGCTTTATGCTCAGACCTGAGCTAGATGATGCTGGGGACACATGGTGACTTAGGCCCAGGCCCTGTCTTTCTGAGTCTTACTGTCCAGTGGAGAACACAGGCCACCCAGACACTGATGACCTAGAGTGAGCAGGGCTGGATGGGATACACAGGGGATCAGAGGTGTCTAGCTGCAGGAGGGGACGTGTGAGATGAGATTTTAAGAATGGGAGAGAACTGTGACTATTTCATAGAGGCTGAGCACTGAGAGGGCAGGTGGCAGGCAGGGAGAGGAGGTGGTAGGGGTGGTCACCTTGTGGGCCTCCGTGAGGACTGTGGATTTTATCCTAGTGCACTGGGAGCCACGGATGGGTCATAAGCAGGAAATGGAAGTGGTGGTGAGATAGGTAGGTAGGTAGACGTGAGCAGAGGATTACGGCGGGAGACCTTGCTACATCAGTGAAGCGTCTGTCTGTCATCCTACAAGATGCAGTTAAAGGGGAACTGAGACCTGCCTGACACCATTACTGAGTCTGAGGCCATCAACCGTGACCATAAAAGTAACAGGTGTGCAAACAGCACACACAAAGTCTTCTGCTATACACCTCTAGAGACGTTGACATTTCTTTAATTTACATACAAATTCCATATGCATTAGCCCCCCCTTCCAAGGAGGATGACTGCCATGACAGTTCTGGAGATTCCCCTTGAAGGTCAAGAACTCCGCCTACCGAGATGTGGGTGGGGGAAAACCCATTATTGGTGGGTAACCAGATAACGCTAATTCCCTTCCAAACAGCCCAAATTAAAATAAAACTAACTCAAGACTCGGGGCTGATGTGCTCTCTGGCACTGCCCGCTCCTCTATTGGAATGTGTCTGACCTTTCCTCTAATAGATCTTTGCTTGCTTGCTGTGGCCCTTGTGTTGGTGTCTGAATTCCTCTTACGCTGACCAAGCGCCTGGGCGACCTGACTCTCCAGTCGAGATACAGGCAGATTTGTGGAACGTCCCCCTGTCTGTCTGCTGTGAGGAGGGTGGACAGGAGGGTGGACACAGGAGACAGGGGACCAGGCAGGAGGCTGCTGTAGCAGAAACAATTGTGCAATTGCCAGAGTCCTGAATGTCTGAGTTCTCTCCATGGGGAGTGGGGGCAGCACTCGCCCCGCCCAGCCCCATCTCTCTCTGCTCTTTAGCCTCCTGTCCCTACAGCTGCAGGTAGAGCAGTGGTTTCCAGACCTCTGTTAGGTTGTAAAAAAATTGAGTAGTACATAACTGTTATGTTTTTAAAATTTTAAAGGAAAAAAAGGATTAGAAAATAGGAGAGTGTGCACTTCAGAGAATCTTATCGATTATTGTTTAAAGAAACTTTCTTTTGGACTGTGTGCGAGCCACAGAATGCTGTGACATCAGTTCTTCCTGGGGACTGGAGGCCAAACTGTCAGTAAGCAGAGGGACAGAGACGGCTCCAGCCATGGGCTCACCTCCTCCTTTCCCAAGAGCCGCTGCCTTGAACTACCCATCATGTCATCCAGGAAGGGGTCCAGCTGTCATTTCCTGGGTTCCAGGTGTTTCCTGGGGAGGCTGCAGGCGGGCCTGGCATCCAGCCTGGTTGTCTCTGCCATGAGGAGGGTGAGGTGGAGCCTGGAGCCAGGGTGAGAGAGAGGAGCCGGGTGCCCAGGGCAGGGGGGGGGTTGGCGTCTCTGGGGAGGGAGGAGCCCAGCTGGAGCCTGGAGCCTGGTCTCTCAGGGTGGCTGAGTCAGGCTCTGAGGCAGGAATGTGGAGGGAGACAGGACAGGGCAGGGGCTCAGAGGCTGTGCTGGAGGGCAGTGGCTGGTCCTGATAGCCACTAACTCAACAGCATTGAGGCCTTGGGGTCAGACAGCCCTGGGTTCGAATCCTGCCTCTGCCCCTTCTCCAAGTGTCAAAGATGCCCTTTACAGATAGCCCTATTGAACTCGCTGTAACCAAGAAGGAGATACCCTTCTGGATGTTTGTCTCTGACAGCTTTCACACTACAAGCCCTCCCTTCAGCCTCACATCCAGGCCAGCTCTAAACAAAGTCTGCAGGCTCCCTCCCTTCACCCCTACAGGAAGTTCAAACCATGAAAAACAGGACCTGCCCAACTCCTAGCCAAAATAAAAGTCAAAGTTAAGGACCCCACTTCCCTCTGGATGAAACCTGAGCCTTCTCCTTGGGGAATCCTATTGTCTCCTGTGTGTAATAAACTTTATTTCATGTACAGTACATTAGTGCCCTATGTCATTCCTCCTGATCACCATATACATTCCTGCTTGAGGGGCTGATACCAAGCAATGGGCTTGCTCTGCTCACAGCAATCTAAGCCAATTAATCACGAGTTAGAGATCAAGAAGTGAAGTTTAATTAGATTAGCCAGCAAATCAGAAGACAGGTGACTAATGTCTCAAAGACCCATCTTCAAAGCTAACAGAATCTTGGGGCCGTCCCGTGGTGTAGCAGTTAAGTGTGTGTGCTCTGCTGCTGGCGGACTGGGTTCAGATCCTGGGCACGCACCAACACACCACTTGTCAGGCCTTGCTGTGGCGGCGTCCTACATAAAGTGGAGGAAGATGGGCACGGATGTTAACTCAGGGCCAGTCTTCATCAGCAAAAAAAGAGGAAGATTGGCATGGGTGTTAACTCAGGGCTAATCTCCCTCACAAAAATAGATAGATAGATAGATAGATAGATAGATAGATAGATAGATAGATAGATAGATAGATAAAAGATAACAGAATCTTGAGGCAGTTATTTACGGAAGATGGGCAGGAAGAAGGGGGTCCAGGGATGTTGGGCTCCAGGCATGATGGGTTCCAGGCATCACATTGTTGCATTCTTCTGTCAGCTGTGATGGATACCTTGTAGGTGTGTTTCCCGGTTGGGGTCAGCCTGTTCCTGGAGGGAAACACACAGAACAAAGTTTTTAATTTATCCAGCGATTGGGGAGTACATATGTGAGTGGAGGTCATAACTCAGGAAAGCATGTGAATTTTTCTGGAGTATGTGCAGAGCAGCGAGTAGTCACACAGAGGAGGGGCTGGGGCCAT